CAAACGCCTTCAAACTCGATTTTCTTCAAGAAACCCTTAACTAGGCTCTGATACCAGATGATGTAAATCTAAATACACCCTCCCGAATATGGGTTGATGGATTTAAAAATACTTATAGTTAGAATACTCAAATATCATGGAACAAGATAAAAGGGCCAAAACTCAAGGACACACTCAAAGTTTTGGGGTTTTAGGCCAGAGATAAGACTCACTCAATCTCTCCTAAGCTTATCACTCAAGACTTACTCAAAGCAATAAGGGAACACTTGAACTTGAGACAAACTCTAAGTTAAAATGCTAAAACACAAGGTTTTTTATCCAAACTCAAAACTGGTTTTTATTTCTGTTTTGCTCTCCCTTTTATAGAGGAAAGGAGCAGCAAAAAACATACCAAAAGTCAGCAGTTTTCCTCCTTGATTTAAGCTAAACAATAAAAGCATAATAAAGCCTAATGATAACTTCCTATTACAACCGGCCAAAGAGCTAAACTCTTGGCATTATTTCAGCAACATTAACTAAAATATAAGATAATAATAGCTAGTGAATGGCTTAGGATCCACACGCCCAAAATAGCAGTGAAATGTGCCAAATCTGTAGTGAAGCGCGCCATGCGCCCAATCTTCAATCTACCCATGAAATGCAACATAGAACTTCAGCCTTCTTTGTAAATGGATAAAATCCAAGAGTCTCTAAGACTAAAGCAACAGGTTCATTAGATGTCCACTTTGGATCACCACATACATTCAAGCTTATTTCAAGGCTTGAAACAAGGAGGAGTTACACTTCTTTGCTGTTTGAATTTGGGCGTGAATAATGGGGTTCATACATCTCCAAATTGTTGCTTTGTTGGGCGTGAATCAAGGGGGAGTTATACTCTCTTATTTCTGATTTTATTTCATCCAAAATTTGGAGGTTACAAACCACCATTTTCTCTTTGATGTATCTAGTTAAGTAAGGCTTGTTTTATTAATGTATCTAGACAACAAAAGCTGATTTGTACTTAGCTTAGACGTGTAACAAGTGAGCTGAAAAGCCACTTATGTTAGCTTGTACTTAAGGATGCTTGTTTACTATAAATATCAAGCAAATGTGAATAAAAAAAATCAGATTATTCGAACAAACAAACTTGTCTTACATTCGTTTCTTGGATTAGAAACAAAAACCTGAAATTCTTGGATTTGGAATTTCGGTTCCTTTTCTTAGTTAGCTAGTTTAGGCTACTAGTTGGCATGTGATCTTAGGAATCCAAACCATTTCTTAGTGGTGTGACTTTATCTTAGAAGCCTTTGGTGCTTTAGCCTTAACTATCCCTTGGTTTATCCCTTGTGTATTTCGAGTGCTACTCCAAATATACAACAGATAGTCAAATCCAAATAACAGGCGGATCTCTTTGCTGACCTCCGAGAAATATTCGCCACACTCAGGCGGCACAAGGTCACGCATAATCCTAAAAAGTGTGTCTTTAGTGTTGAGTCTGGGAGGTTTCTCGGATTCTTGATCGACCAAAGGGGAATAGAGGCCAACCCTGAAAGTCAAACACATTTAAACAAAGATTTTTAAATCAAATGAAAGTCAAACACATTAAAACAAAGCTTTTTGAATCAAATGAAAGTAAAAAAACCTTAAAACAAATCTTTTAAATTTGAATGAAAGTCAAATGTATTCAATGAAGCTAACTGAATAAAATTAAAGTCAAACATATTCAAACAAATCTATTTGAATCAAATGAAAGTCAAACACATTCATACAAAGCTTTTTGAATTGAAAGAGGGTAAAATGTATTCAACGAAGTTATTTAAATAAAATGAAAGTCAAACACATTCAAACAAAAATTTTTGAATCAAATGAAAGTCAACCACATTTAACCAATCTTTTTTATTTGAAAGAAAATCAAATGCATTAAACGAATCAAATAAAATCAAATGAAAGTCAAACACATTCAAACAAATCTTTTTAAATCAAATGAAAGTCAAACACATTCAAACAAAGCTTTTTTAATCAAAAGATAGTCAAACACATTTAAACAAATCTTTCTGAATGGAATTAAAGTAAAATGCATTGAACGAAGTTAATTGAATTAAAAGAAAGTCAAACAAATTCAAATAAAGGTTTTTAAATCAAATAAAAGTCAAACAAAGCTTTTTGAATGAAATGAAAGCCAAACAGTTTCAAACAAATCTTTTTGATTCGAATGAAAGGCAAATGCATTCAACGAAGCTAATTGAATCAAACGAAAGATAAACACATTCCAACAAACCTTTTTGAATCAAATGAAAGTCAAACACATTCAAACAAAGCTTTTTGAATCATATGAAAGTCAAACACATTTAAACAAAGTTTTTTGAATCGAATGAAAGTCAGATGCATTCAACGAATCTAATTGAATCAAATGAAAGTTAAACACATTCAAACAAATCTCTTTGCATCAAATGAAAGTCAAACACATTGAAACAAAGCTTTTTAATCAAATGAACATTAAACACATTCAAACAAAGCTTTTTGAATCGATTGAAAGTCAAATGCATTCAACAAAGCTAATTGAATCAAATGAAAGTCAAACGCATTTTAACAAAGCTTTTTGAATCAAATGAAAGTCAAACACATTCAAACAAAACTTTTTCAATCATGAAAGTCAACACACATTCAAACAAAGCTTTTTGAATCGAATGAAAGTCAAAATGCGTTCAACGAAGCGAATTGAGTCAAATGAAAGTCAAACACATTAGAACAAAATATTTTGAATCAAATGAAAGTCAAACATATTCAAACAAATCTTTTTGAATCAAATGAAAGTCAAACATATTCAAACAAAGCTTTTTGAATCAAATGAGAGTCAATTGCATGTAACGAAGCCAATTGAATAAAATGAAAGTCAAACACAATCAAACAAAGCTTTTTGAATCTAAAGTAAGTAAAAAACATTACAACAAGTGATGTGAATTAATGATCCGAAAATCAACAAACACAAGGGATATGTTTAAGTCTAATTCTATATACAGGAAATCCACCAAGAATTAAACAAAAACTAAGATTAATCAATTAAGAATCCACCTAATTAATCAATCCAAACAAATGTTTTATCTAAAACAAGCAAAACAACAATTGATCACAATCAACAAAACTTAAGTGTTTGAACTTAAAACAATGTATATTAGTCTCTCTTTTTATTCGTGTGTTTTACAGCCCTATTTATAAGACTTAGTTTACCTAGGAAGATTAGGACAAGTTCCTAATTCAATCCTAATTAAACTAGAATTCTAACTTGCTTGAAGAGCAAGCACCTTGGCGCACAAGCATACACCAAACTCCTTGGAGAACAAGCACACGCCTAAACTGATTTATTTTGCTAGCTAATTGATTTTTAAAGCAACTAAATAAATAAATAAAAATTAAAGAACTAAATAAAGATTAAAGATCCTAATGCTTGAACCACGAAAAACCCTTTCAAGTGAAAGGTAAAAACTTGTAAGAAAAATCTTAATAAAGAAAATTTAAGAAAGTTCAAGAAAGTGAACTAGACTCCAAGAAAAATCACTAAGCAAACCGTGGCTTTGCTTTGATATCCAAGAAAGTGTCCATGCAATGCTTGGCTTGAATCAATGTTTAGGGATAAACTATCTTGATGCATGATAAGCAAATCTTCGAAGTTCTCCATGCTTAGACTTGCATCATCCTCCTCTTCTTCGAAAGAATTTGTCCTCAAATCTCGAAGTTCTTCATCAGGAATATACTTAGCCAATTCGCCAACATTGAATTTAGCACTAACTCCATATTCTCCCGGAAGTTCTAACTTATAAGCATTGTCATTGATCTTCTCAATAATCATGAAAGGACCTTCACTTCTAGGCATCAACTTATTCTTGCGTTTTCTTGGAAATCTTTCCTTTCTCAAATGTAACCATACCAAGTCTCCAACATTGTAACCTTGTTGCTTTCTATGCTTGTTTGCTCTAGCTTTGTACATGTCATTTTCTTTTTCTATTCTTATTCGAACTTGAGCATGTAATTTCAGCATACTCTTCAACTTAGACTCGGCATCTTTGTGAATTAACTCACCCTTAGGCAATGGAACAAGATCAATTGGAAGTTTCGGATTGACTCCATAGACTACCCCAAAAGGACTATGTTTGGTAGCATATGTAGGTGATCTATTATAAGCAAACTCCGCATGAGCTAACTTGATGTCCCAATCCTTTTGTGTCTTACTCACTAACCCACAAGCTTCCATAAAGACTTCACATAGCTTGTGGATGGTTTGTCCATCAGTTTGTGGATGGTAAGATGTACTAAAGAGTAATTTAGTTCCCACAAGCTTCCATAAAGACTTCCAAAAGAAACTCATGAACTTTGTATCTCGATCACTCACAATAGTATTCGGAATTCCATGCAATCTAACAACTCCAACTCCACTAGCATCGGTTTCAACTTCAAAAGGACTTGATAAATCTGGTAACGCAAGTATAGGTGCTTCACATAGCTATTTTTAACCAACTTAAACGCACTTTGAGCTTCTTTAGTCCATTCGAATTTACTCTTGTCCTTCTTCAAACATTCGGTCATAGGCGCCACAATACTTGAGAAATTCTTGACAAATCTTCTATAGAACGAAGCTAGACCATGAAAAGACCTTACTTCACTCATATTAGTAGGAATAGGCCAAGTTTTAATAGCCTCTACTTTCGAATGATCAACTGAAACTCCATCCTTTAATACAACATAACCAAGAAAAGTAACACTAGACACTAAGAAGTAGCATTTTTCAAGCTTAGCATAGAGTTTCTTCTCTCTTAACACTTCAAACACACTTGTTAGATGATTTAGATGATCATGCAAATTTTTAGAGTATATCAAAATATCATCTACATAAACAACAACAAACTTGCCAAGGAAAGGTTTAAGTACCTCATGCATCAACCTCATGAAAGTGCTAGGTGCATTAGTGAGTCCAAACGGCATCACCAACCATTCATACAACCCTAACTTAGTCTTGAATGTTGTCTTCACTCATCTCCTTCTCTCATTCGAACTTTATGATAACCACTCATAAGATCAATCTTAGAAAACAACTTTGAACCATGAAGTTCATCAAGTAGATCATCTAACCTTGGAATAGGAAATCGGTATTTGATAGTGATGTTATTCACACTCCTACTATCAATACACATACGCCAACTTCCATCTTTCTTTGGGACAAGTAAAGTAGGCACGACACAAGGGCTCATACTTTCCCTCACGTATCCTCTAGCCATAAGCTCTTCAATCTGCCTTTGCATCTCCTTTGTTTCTTCCGGATTACTTCTATAGGCTGCCTTATTAGGTAATGGTGCTCCCGGAATCAAGTCAATTTGATGCTTTGTCCCACGAATAGGAGGTAGTCCCGGAGGTAATTCCTTAGGAAAGACATCCTTGAATTCTTCTAAAACAAATTCAAATTCATACGGCCTCTTTGCTAGGTTATTTTGATCAATTCGAATCTCATTAGAAACAAGTATATATACCACATTGTTGCTGCAAATCTCTTTTTCTAATTCCCTCTCACTAATCAAATAAGAACTCTTCGAATTAGAGGTAACATTAGAAGACTTGTTGCTTATCAAAGGTTTTAAAGCAACCGGTCTCTCTTTTTTCTCCTTTTCTCACAACATACACATTAGTCCTTCCATCAAACTTCACAAATCTATCATATTTCCAAGGACGGCCTAATAGTATATGACAAGCATCCATAGGACAAACATCACAAAAAACTTTATCATGAAATTTACCAATTGAAAAGGAGATTAAGGCTTGTTTAGTTACCTTAACATCACTCGAATTATTAAGCCAATGAAGCTTATAAGGGCTTGGATGTTCAATAGTTGGCCACTTCAATTTGTCTACCAAAGTAGTAGATACCACATTAGTGCAACTCCCCGTGTCTATGATCATGTCACACAACCTATCTTCTACCTTGCACCTTGTAAGAAAGATTTTCTCCCTTTGATTGTTTTCCATAGGTACGGTTTTAGAGTGTAGTTCCCTTCTTAGAACCAAACTTTGACCATGAGTCTCGGGATCAATTTCGACAATATGCCCCTCCTCTTCTTCAAAGTTTTCCTCTTCATTCTTTTTTACATAGTCACTACCTTGCTCACACTTAGCTTGTTCTTGCTCCCACTCTTGAGCAGTCATTACTATTTTTGATGGACAATTAGTTGCAATGTGACCAACACTACCACACTTGAAGCACTTCCTATCTTCAACAAGCTTTTTATGAGCTTCAAATTTTGATTTAGTCTCCTTGTAGTTCGAACTAGAACCACTTTTCTCCAAGCTGTTCCTCTCAAAAGGTTTAGTGAAACCTTTTACAAAGGGCTTAGTGTACGTCCCTTTCTTCCCCTTTATCTGTTTTTCAACTTTCAAAGCTACCATGAAAACATCATCAAAGGACCAATATTGTTGCAATTCAACTTTTTCAGCAATATTATCATTCAACCCCGAAATAAATCTAGCAATCTTATGCTCAACAATCTCTTCTAAGCCACATAGCATGCATAACTTTTCAAATTCACCAATATAATTCTCAACAGTCATAGAATTTTGTTTAAAAAGTTGCATCTTAAGATAAACATCTTGAATATAATCACTAGGTACGAACCTTTTTTCATGTGCTTCTTGAGTTGTTCCCAAGTTGAGATTCTTCCACGCCCCTCCTTATGCCTCTTCTTCTTTAGACTATCATACCAAAGACTAGCACAACCGATCAGTTTTAATTTAGCCAATTTGCATGTTTTCCTTTCATCATACTCCTTGTAATCAAAGAGTGTCTCGGCCCTTCTAATCCACTCAAAGTATTTTTCAGGTTCATTCATACTCCCATTGAATTCAGGAAGATCTAACCTAAGGTTCCTATCATCATCCTTTGGTCTATCTCTTCTCCTAGGCCTTGGTGATTCATCACTTGAAGAATAATTATTTCGTAGCCTCCTTGGGTTCCTCCTTGGTTGTTCTTCCTCACTTGAACCAGAATTAGAGTTAGAATTCCCTTTCCTTGAAGAATCTCCAGCAAGAGTATCAAGCCTTTTTAATATCTCATCCATCCTTGCTGCCAACTCGTCGATTCGCCTATCTCTTCTAAGATTTTGAGCCTGTTCTAAGGTTAATCCCCTTGGAACCTGTGGAACCTCCTCGTCACTCATGATTCCTACACAAACCAAGTCAGTTCATGCAAAAATCTTGATTAAAAGATCGAATCTTGAAGGAAAACTAGGCAACACAAAAACCGGACTCCCAACCGCAAATCAGTGCACAAACACCAAACGTTTGAGGCTGTGTAGAACACGTTACTCAACTAAAAATTATGAAATTTTATATGGTGATAGCTGGAAGTTTTGGAGTTCAATGAAAAGAAAAATCACGTAACAATTCCCAGCCAATTGTTCCCAGTTTAATTTTTGCCGAAGTTGCGTAACCTGGCTCTGATACCAAAGATGATGTGAATTATTGATCCGAAAATCAACAAACACAAGGGATATGTTTAAGTCTAATTCTATACAGGAAATCAACCAAGAATTAAACAAAAACTAAGATTAATCAATTAAGAATCCACCTAATTAATCAATCCAAACAAATGTTTTATCTAAAACAAGCAAAACAACAATTGATCACAATCAACAAAACTTAAGTGTTTGAACTTAAAACAATGTATATTAGTCTCTCTGTTTATTCGTGTGTTTTACAACCCTATTTATAAGACTTAGTTTACCTAGGAAGATTAGGACAAGTTCCTAATTCAATCCTAATTAAACTAGAATTCTAACTTGCTTGAAGAGCAAGCACCTTGGCGCACAAGCATACACCAAACTCCTTGGAGAACAAGCACACGCCTAAACTGATTTATTTTGCTAGCTAATTGATTTTTAAAGCAACTAAATAAATAAATAAAAATTAAAGAACTAAATAAAGATTAAATATCCTAATGCTTGAACCAAGAAAAACCCTTTCAAGTGAAAGGTAAAAACTTGTCAGCAAAATCTTAATAAAGAAAATTTAAGAAAGTTCAAGAAAGTGAACTAGACTCCAAGAAAAACCACTAAGAAAACCGTGGCTTTGCTTTGATATCCAAGAAAGTGTCCATGCAATGCTTGGCTTGAATCAATGTTTAGGGATAAACTATCTTGATGCATGATAAGCAAATCTTCGAAGTTCTCCATGCTTAGACTTGCATCATCCTCCTCTTCTTCGAAAGAATTTGTCCTCAAATCTCGAAGTTCTTCATCAGGAATATACTTAGCCAATTCGCCAACATTGAATTTAGCACTAACTCCATATTCTCCCGGAAGTTCTAACTTATAAGCATTGTCATTGATCTTCTCAATAATCATGAAAGGACCTTCACTTCTAGGCATCAACTTATTCTTGCGTTTTCTTGGAAATCTTTCCTTTCTCAAATGTAACCATACCAAGTCTCCAACATTGTAACCTTGTTGCTTTCTATGCTTGTTTGCTCTAGCTTTGTACAAGTCATTTACTTTTACAAAGCTTATTCGAACTTGAGCATGTAATTTCAGCATACTCTTCAACTTAGACTCGGCATCTTTGTGAATTAACTCACCCTTAGGCAATGGAACAAGATCAATTGGAAGTTTCGGATTGACTCCATAGACTACCCCAAAAGGACTATGTTTGGTAGCATATGTAGGTGATCTATTATAAGCAAACTCCGCATGAGCTAACTTGATGTCCCAATCCTTTTGTGTCTTACTCACTAACCCACAAGCTTCCATAAAGACTTCACATAGCTTGTGGATGGTTTGTCCATCAGTTTGTGGATGGTAAGATGTACTAAAGAGTAATTTAGTTCCCACAAGCTTCCATAAAGACTTCCAAAAGAAACTCATGAACTTTGTATCTCGATCACTCACAATAGTATTCGGAATTCCATGCAATCTAACAATTCCAACTCCACTAGCATCGGTTTCAACTTCAAAAGGACTTGATAAATCTGGTAAAGCAAGTGTAGGTGCTTCACATAGCTTCTTTTTAACCAACCCAAACGCACTTTGAGCTTCTTTAGTCCATTCGAATTTACCCTTGTCCTTATTCAAACATTCGGTCATAGGCGCCACAATACTTGAGAAATTCTTGACAAATCTTCTATAGAACGAAGCTAGACCATGAAAAGACCTTACTTCACTCATATTAGTAGGAATAGGCCAAGTTTTAATAGCCTCTACTTTCGAATGATCAACTGAAACTCCATCCTTTGATACAACATAACCAAGAAAAGTAACACTAGACACTAAGAAGTAGCATTTTTCAAGCTTAGCATAGAGTTTCTTCTCTCTTAACACTTCAAACACACTTGTTATATGATTTAGATGATCATGCAAATTTTTAGAGTATATCAAAATATCATCTAAATAAACAACAACAAACTTGCCAAGGAAAGGTTTAAGTACCTCATGCATCAACCTCATGAAAGTGCTAGGTGCATTAGTGAGTCCAAACGGCATCACCAACAATTCATACAACCCTAACTTAGTCTTGAATGCTGTCTTCCACTCATCTCCTTCTCTCATTCGAACTTTATGATAACCACTCATAAGATCAATCTTAGAAAACAACTTTGAACCATGAAGTTCATCAAGTAGATCATCTAACCTTGGAATAGGAAATCGGTATTTGATAGTGATGTTATTCACACTCCTACTATCAATACACATACGCCAACTTCCATCTTTCTTTGGGACAAGTAAAGTAGGCACGACACAAGGGCTCATACTTTCCCTCACGTATCCTCTAGCCATAAGCTCTTCAATCTGCCTTTGCATCTCCTTTGTTTCTTCCGGATTACTTCTATAGGCTGCCTTATTAGGTAATGGTGCTCCCGGAATCAAGTCAATTTGATGCTTTGTCCCACGAATAGGAGGTAGTCCCGGAGGTAATTCCTTAGGAAAGACATCCTTGAATTCTTCTAAAACAAATTCAAATTCATACGGCCTCTTTGCTTGGTTATTTTGATCAATTCGAATCTCATTAGAAACAAGTATATATACCACATTGTTGCTGCGAATCTCTTTTTCTAATTCCCTCTCACTAATCAAATAAGAACTCTTCGAATTAGAGGTAACATTAGAAGACTTGTTGCTTATCATAGGTTTTAAAGCAACCGGTCTCTCTTTTTTCTCCTTTTCTCACAACATACACATTAGTCCTTCCATCAAACTTCACAAATCTATCATATTGCCAAGGACGGCCTAATAGTATATGACAAGCATCCATAGGACAAACATCACAAAAAACTTTATCATGAAATTTACCAATTGAAAAGGAGATTAAGGCTTGTTTAGTTACCTTAACATCACTCGAATTATTAAGCCAATGAAGCTTATAAGGGCTTGGATGTTCAATAGTTGGCCACTTCAATTTGTCTACCAAAGTAGTAGATACCACATTAGTGCAACTCCCCGTGTCTATGATCATGTCACACAACCTATCTTCTACCTTGCACCTTGTAAGAAAGATTTTCTCCCTTTGATTGTTTTCCATAGGTACGGTTTTAGAGTGTAGTTCCCTTCTTAGAACCAAACTTTGACCATGAGTCTCGGGATCAATTTCGTCAATATGCCCCTCCTCTTCTTCAAAGTTTTCCTCTTCATTCTTTTTTACATAGTCACTACCTTGCTCACACTTAGCTTGTTCTTGCTCCCACTCTTGAGCAGTCATTACTATTTTTGATGGACAATTAGTTGCAATGTGACCAACACTACCACACTTGAAGCACTTCCTATCTTCAACAAGCTTTTTATAAGCTTCAAAATTTGATTTAGTCTCCTTGTAGTTCGAACTAGAACCACTTTTCTCCAAGCTGTTCCTCTCAAAAGGTTTAGTGAAACCTTTTACAAAGGGCTTAGTGTACGTCCCTTTCTTCCCCTTTATCTGTTTTTCAACTTTCAAAGCTACCATGAAAACATCATCAAAGGACCAATATTGTTGCAATTCAACTTTTTCAGCAATATTATCATTCAACCCCGAAATAAATCTAGCAATCTTATGCTCAACAATCTCTTCTAAGCCACATAGCATGCATAACTTTTCAAATTCACCAATATAATTCTCAACAGTCATAGAATTTTGTTTAAAAAGTTGCATCTTAAGATAAACATCTTGAATATAATCACTAGGTACGAACCTTTTTTCATGTGCTTCTTGAGTTGTTCCCAAGTTGAGATTCTTCCACGCCCCTCCTTATGCCTCTTCTTCTTTAGACTATCATACCAAAGACTAGCATAACCGATCAGTTTTAATTTAGCCAATTTGCATGTTTTCCTTTCATCATACTCCTTGTAATCAAAGAGTGTCTCGGCCCTTCTAATCCACTCAAAGTATTTTTCAGGTTCATTCATACTCCCATTGAATTCAGGAAGATCTAACCTAAGGTTCCTATCATCATCCTTTGGTCTATCTCTTCTCCTAGGCCTTGGTGATTCATCACTTGAAGAATAATTATTTCGTGGCCTCCTTGGGTTCCTCCTTGGTTGTTCTTCCTCACTTGAACCAGAATTAGAGTTAGAATTCCCTTTCCTTGAAGAATCTCCAGCAAGAGTATCAAGCCTTTTTAATATCTCATCCATCCTTGCTGCCAACTCGTCGATTCGCCTATCTCTTCTAAGATTTTGAGCCTGTTCTAAGGTTAATCCCCTTGGAACCTGTGGAACCTCCTCGTCACTCATGATTCCTACACAAACCAAGTCAGTTCATGCAAAAATCTTGATTAAAAGATCGAATCTTGAAGGAAAACTAGGCAACACAAAAACCGGACTCCCAACCGCAAATCAGTGCACAAACACCAAACGTTTGAGGCTGTGTAGAACACGTTACTCAACTAAAAATTATGAAATTTTATATGGTGATAGCTGGAAGTTTTGGAGTTCAATGAAAAGAAAAATCACGTAACAATTCCCAGCCAATTGTTCCCAGTTTAATTTTTGCCGAAGTTGCGTAACCTGGCTCTGATACCAAAGATGATGTGAATTATTGATCCGAAAATCAACAAACACAAGGGATATGTTTAAGTCTAATTCTATACAGGAAATCAACCAAGAATTAAACAAAAACTAAGATTAATCAATTAAGAATCCACCTAATTAATCAATCCAAACAAATGTTTTATCTAAAACAAGCAAAACAACAATTG